TTTATTTTTTATTTTTATTTTTATTTTTATAACTTGTATCAGTAGTGAAAATAATTCAAGAGTTTAATGTTTCATAATGAAAGAAAATTTGTGAGAATTAATTTAATAAAATATAGATAAAAAAAATATATATAGTAAAATTTATAATTATTTGATAAAGTGAAATTAGGTGAAAAATAAAGGCAAATTGATGTCTTTAAATTATATTTTATATAGTTAAATTTTTATGTAAAAATATATTATTTACATAATTATATTTTTATCTTTTACCAATTAATTATTTAGATAATAATGTAGGGTTAATATTATCTAAACACTTTTTTCTTTGTGAAAAATTTGACACAAGTCCACTCATAAGAGAGTGAGAGTGAAATTAAATCTACATGAATTTTACCATAATTTTATTATAAAATCACTTAAATCATCTCTTTCAAACACATGTTTTTTTTTTAATTCTTTGATAAGCCTTTCTTTCTTCTCCATTTCTTACTAAATCACTTCTTTCAAACCCACTACTGATTTACCATGATCTATTTAATAAAAAATATTGAGTTTGAGTTTTTGAAAAGATCTATTTTAATTAAAAAGATTAAACTCGTATTTATTAAAAAGCTTGTTAACTTTGATAGATAAGTCTATTTATCTATATAATATAATAATAATAAAATACATATTATATTATTAAAATATAATTAAATAAATAAAATTGTATACAAAAATTAAATTATTAATATTTTTTGACATTTTTCATGAATTAAATGTTTTACATTCTCCAGTCATATAAAATCAAGAAATCAAAAATAGAAATTTTAATGGTCGCATTTTTTCCTTTTTCCCCCTTTTTTTCCCCTTCATCTTCATGATTATTTATTTGAAATATTTCAAATGGGATATAAGAAATATTTGAAAAGATTTTTTTAGATAAAATTATCTTCTTTCATTAAAACTATATGTTTGTGTATGTTAGTGCACATGAATGTGCATGAATTGTCCCTCTTATATTTAAAAATAAGTTTTTTGATTAATTTAAAAATAAATTTATTAATTTATTTAATATTATTAATATAAAATAGGCTTTTAAATAATTTACTAGACTAAATTAGACTTTTATAAAGGTTAGACCAGAACTAAAAAAATATAATAAATAATAAACTAAATTTAGATTTTAATTTTATAAAATAAATTTGAATTATATATTCAAACTCTAATTACTTATCATATTATCATCTTAACTTTCATAATAATATCTTAATTGTTTAATAATTATTTTTTATTTTTAATTAAATAAAAAATTATTATGTACTTTATTATTAGATTATTAATAAAAATAACTGAGGTCATATGTTTTTTATTGTGACTAGTGTGACATGAAGTAACCGTCTAAAGATACCAAGGTGATATAAAAAATTAAAATAAAAGGAATATTTAAATGTATATTTTAGTGTTTAAAATTATAAGTATTAGTCACTTTAATTTTGACTTTATAAATTTTTTGTGTTAGCGGTTAAATTTAAAAATCATAGTCACTTTAGTATTTTTTTAATATAAAATAGGAAAAGGTAAGTGAAAAAAATTGAAATTAGTTTTATAAAGTTAAAATTAACGTAAGTATTTCATAAAATTAATATTAAAGTATTCAGCATTTTTAATTTTAAAGATTTGAGTGAACTTTACCTTAATTAAATAGTTTTTTATGTTTTTTTTTTTTAACGCAACTAAAGTAAAGCTTTTACAAAAGAAAAACTAAAGTAATTTATATTTACAATTTCGAAGACTCAAATAAGAATTTAGTCAAATAAATACACACACAACTGAAATAATAATAATATAAAGGTGAAATTCAACTGAGCGACATTATAAATTTGAAGACTTGAATGAAAGATCACTCAAATAAATACACAGTACACACATTACTAGTTTGACAATGTATTTAGTCACCTTTAACGGTCATGTTGCACATTTATTTTTGTTAAATAAATAAGAAGAATGATACACAGTTATCTCTATATTACAAATATTGATTTGACATTTCTTATTTTTTTTTATATCATATAATTTATTACATTCATAATTTTTTTTTCTCAAGACTTAACGTGCAAGTGTCTTAAAAAATTATTCATTAATTAAATAACATATTAATATACTATGAAAGTAAAAAAAAATTGCAACGAAATTTGTTATTGAAATTTTTTGTAAAACCATTGTAAAACTATCAATCTCAACACTCAACGGAAAAGAATATTGTTTTATGTTATTGATTTTCAACAACTTTGATTAATGTTGTCACAAGTGTTATTTATCGTTGCTATTTTGATATTTCTTGTTGTAAAAATAATTTGTTTTAACAATTTAAGTCATTGCCATATATTATAATAAGATGACTTTTCTCAACAATTTATGTCAGTTATTTTCTTTTTTTTAATATTAAAAGTCATGAAAATAAATTATTATTTTTCAGCAACTTCTAATATTACCATAACTTTTATGTAAATTTATTTTTTAGAAAAAATTGAATTATCATATCATTTAAAATTTAATACTAATTGCACAAATATAAACTTATTTATATAAAATTGAGTTATAATACAGAAAAAACATAAATCAATTTATATAAGAAGAAGTCATGATACAATAATGTTCTTATTATGAAAATATATATCAACACCCAAATTTTGTTACAATAAGTTTTTTTTATTTAGTTTACATGTATTTTTTTTTTATTAAAATTTGAGTTAGATTAATATAGTGAGCAAAATTTTCTATTTATATATTGAACATAACTAGATATTCAAAACTTGAACATGAAACATTGATAAAGTTAGGAGAATTTCTTATCAAAAAATTTATATGTTCATAAATCTATATCATTATATAAAGAAAATATATTTTTAATAATCATTTTGATTTTGATTTTTTATTAATTATATGATAATTTTTTGTTTTATCCTTCACAATGAGTAATTATAAACCACTTTTGTGCACAAAAATACCATTTTTTTTTTCTGAAGAAAATATATAGAGGCACGATGTCTTTGGTAAAGATAAAGTTTATTTCTTTTAGAAGGAGAAATGTAGGTTTTGAGTTTTTGTTTCTTTTGGGGTGTAATTGTAAGAATGATGCTTTAGCGAGTAGTTCGATGCAGTTGTGTAAGATTTAGCAACAGCTCCAATCTCAAATGCGTTTAAAAGTGTTAAACCGAAAGCTTCTTTTACCGGCATGATCGGTATCCACTTTTGAAACCCATCACTCACTTTATCTTGGTCGAACTCCAACTCCATCTCACTACTTGCCCCGGACATTCGGACCTGCAATCTTATCTGACATTCCACTCTTCCCTGCTACCTCCTACACGTGCCACACTCACCTTAAACAAACCAAAAAATAAATAACTAATAATCATCACTTAATATGTACGTACAAAGTGAAATACACTTGTCTTAACTAGGGCTTGACATTTTTATTTTTACACTTTTTAACTCTCACAAGGCAAGTTATCCCAGCTTTAATTGTACACATCTTCTAACTTTAACCACCTTTGTTTGTCTCAACTCAATACCCAAATATAGACATTTCTTATTGTGCTTTCTCTGATGCCTTTCAGAGTTTCTCTGTTTGAGATTTTAATTCTCCGCAGTCCGCAGAAACATATATGGTATATGAAACTATGTATACGGCAAATATAATATAATAAACTATGAAACTCTAGCAAGGAAAGCAATGGTTGGTCACTTAAGATGCAAAGACAAACTTTATGGGACACTTTACCGTATAGGGATGTAGGAATAGGACAATGCGACAAGAAAAGAAGACTCAACTCAAAAGAGCAAGAATCATGAACTTCCGGGCAAAGATGATACATTGTTCACTGCTCGTGTTCTTGTCTCTGTGAGAAACAAATTATATGCAAAGCAAAAGTGTGAGAGTTGAAGATAGAAGAGAATGGAATCCTAAGAGTGCTGAGAAAACGTTAATCAGATCATTACTCAAAGTGGGGAAAGACAAAGGTTTCTGGTCCTCAGAAGCATAGAAGAAACCATGATGGAAACATTTCAAACAACATTTTCAGTCAAGCTTCCCTTACATTTCGCTTTCATCCAATAATTCACCTTGTTCTTTTCTTGTAAATCTTCCAACACCATTTTCAATATTTTATTTATTCCCGTGATCACATCTCTTTCTAGTTCTCCTTACGTTCTTATGGAGGGAAAAGGAAAGGATAGGGGTTTCCTTCTCTGTCACTGACAATTTATGATAAAAAAAAATAATATTATTCAAACAATTTTTTTTTTTACATTATCTTACACTTTTCACTATTTTCTTCTTACCCATCTTTTATCATAAAATTTAGTACGTAGAAAAATATTACTCATTCATAGATATATGTATACGAAATTAAAGTTGAATTATAACCCTAAGCTCCTCCAAGAAACACTATGATAACCTTCTTTTTCCATAAATCATAGTACTATACTCTATCTCGATCCAAACTAAATGATTAATCAATCTTAATTACTAAATACTATTTAATTCAGATGGCTAACTACAAATCGTACTTCTAAGAGTGAGAATATTTTTTGAACGAATCAGTCATTTACTGTCAGCTCCTTTATAGTATGAATCTTTTGTAATATCACTAGTCTTTTCATTGGTTTTTGAATTGAGATGCAATGTATTTCGTGTTCTTCGCTTTCGTACATGGACACCATTAATGGGTCTAGCTTCCTCAAGAAAGCCTTATAAATTTGTCTTTAAGCCAGCCTGTTGCATTCTCAGTTCTCAGCCTTTTACCCAATAAAATCTGTAAGCAACTCTTCATCATTAACTCTCTCTTTCTCTCTCTTGCGCTGGCATTAGCATTAATGTAACTGGAGGCATGCAGATACTAGAATAAGCAAAAGAGTCTATGAACGATACGAAAAAAGAGTGATCCCACACAATCCAGGACAATAAAGTGTACCAATGAAGATGAGAAAAACTCGACCAGAAAGAGGAGCTGAAGAACATTTAAAGTTTGCTTTAATTTCTCATCTTTTACCCTAACCAAAACCCACCACATCGATAGATGATGGGTCGGGAACAAAGATAATAATATCGGCACTAAGTTATATGTACACAGAATCACAAAACAGTCACACAAACAAACGCACGCACACACATCAATATCATCATCTGCCTTCTCCAAAACTTGAGAGTAGTAATGATTTAAAAATTAAATAGAAAAAAGAAAAAGAAAACAAATCAAGCAAGTAAAAGAAAATTAATTAATAAGTAGCTAGCTAGCTTGGGATATCATCATATCATACTTGATGGAATTAATCAGTTGTGAAACTAACAAGTGGATGGAGGCATAAGATTCAAGCCCAAGTCATCCTTTTCCAAAACCAAGCGAGCCTTGTTGGTCTCCGAATTAGATCCATAATCCGGGTGCACCCTTTTCTTGGATTGCAGCGACACCCCAAAAAGCTTGGTCTTGCAGTTGTTACCATTACTGCTATGCCCTTCAACAATCGTTATAGAACTCCTCGATGTGTTGGTGGGAGAGTTCACAACATAGTTCTGAGGTTGAGGTTGTGCAGTTCCTTGCTTAGGGTTACTGGAATAATACCCCAGAAGCTGGTTCATTGGCCTTTGCATCATTAAAACATTGGCACTGCTTATTGGAGTAGCAGAAGGTGTATTTGATAGAAGCAAAGAAGAGGAATAAGAGTTGCTCGGAGCCACTGGCTTGACATGGTTCTGAACGAAGTAGATAATGTCATTATAAAGCTTCTTCATGTGCGCGAGTTCGGACAAGAGCATGTTGTTGCTTCGCCTGAGTCTCTCGTTGTCCTCGGAAAGCGCGGTGACGGAAGTGCCGTAGTTGGCTGCACCGTTCACCAATGAGGTGGCTCCACGTGGCGGCGAGTCACACCAATTGGCTTGCTCGTCGGAGTCGTTGGAGGGAGAGATGCTGACTCTGCCGGAGAAGGGAAAAAAAGTTGGAACGTTGACGTTGACTCCAAGATGAGAATGCTGGTTCATGCTTCCTTGTTGAGGCTGTGCCGTTTTTCTTCTATGGATCTCGCATAGCAAGTGTTTCTCTCCCTTCTTGAAGAATTCGTTTGCGAACTCCCACCGGTCCGGCACAATCTTTCTAAAACCCTAGTTAGTTCATGTGTTTGAAAAAACCATGTTAGAAGAGGAAACAATAATTGAAGAACGTAACAAGTAAATGGTGTGTGTAAGTATATATAATACGTACATAGGTGTTGAGTTGGCGAACGAAGCTTGAGAAATTGTTGTGTTTGAAGTAGTTGGGAAGAAGGTCTCTTGCAAACTCTGGTGGACGCCAAACGACGAAGGTGGTGTCGTCTTCGCCCCATGAAACTATGTGATCTGTGGTGGGATCGTCGACAAGTTGGTATGTTTTAGTGAGGAAAGGTGCTGGCACGGATTTGTGTGAGTCCAACGAGAGTAAAATGCCTTCACAGTTGTCTAGAAGAAGAGCCATTGGAAGAGGAGAGAAAGAGTGTGAGAGTGAGAGTGAGAGTGAGAATGGTGCGGGAAGAAGGATGGATAAAAATGTTTAGAGGAGAAGAGAGAGAAAGGAGTTGTTACTGTGTAATGAGTTTTGTTTATACATACATGTATGTGTATTTTGGCATATAAGTATTTTTGTTTTGTTTTGTATTTGTTTTCCTCATCGGTTGTGTAGTGAGAGAGAATATGTGTCTGTCTGTCTAGGACTGTGAAATAAGGGCCTTTCAAGGCAAACCCGTGACTCGCTTTCTCTCTCTCTCCTTCTACGTGTGTGTGCGTATGTGTGTTCTGATACAGAGAGGGTTCTGACATTGATCCCGCGCACACCCACTTAAAATCACGCACAAGACCAAGAAGGTGCACACCAATGCTATCTAATCTGTCATCTTTTACAAATTGACCGTTCAACCCCTTCCTCAACTCTTTTTACTTTTATTCCATTCCATTAGTAGTAATCAGTCAAACACTTCCAATGTTACAGCCTTTTCTCTAATCATTTTTTAGCAGATTAAAAAGTTTTAGAGTTAACGCTTCTAATAGTTGCCATGTCAATGAAGAAATACGTATATGCTAATTAATATATACATGCTGAATTGGAATGATTATGTCATCTGTCTCTGGGGTATACTAATTTCCAATTCCAAAGTAAAGGAATCTTGGATAGAAGGACAATCTGATTTATGACAAACTACGGTTTTGGGGTATTGACATTACATTTTTTTTCTTCAAATAAAATATTGGAAGGTGTAAGATGAGAAATGTGAAGAAGGTGGGTTTCACTTCACGTCAAACGAGTGTCCTCTTTTCACAATTTGTAGCTTTCCTTTTGTTGTTTAATGTCACCAGCCAAACACAGTCCCTAGTTTCGAATCCCTATCATATTTTATTTTATTTCTTGTATTGCACATCTCTAGCAGATATAAGGCAAGGTATACATCGAACTACGTGATGGGAATTAAAGACTGTTGTAGGTGACGACATTTCTTCCTTCCGTTGCTTCTATGATTTATTTCTTCTATCTATCTATCTGACTTTTTCTTTTCTTTTCCTTATTGAAAAAAAACACATTTGAAACTAGAATATCGTTTGCTCTCTCTGGCCTCTAGTGCCTTTTACTCGCTACCTTACAATAGCCCTAGCTACCTACCCGTGTTTAGCTTTCCTTTGCTTTTACATTGAGCCTCCAACTTTGGCTCTTACGCGGCTCGGCTTCTTTTAATCTGCTCATGTGTCCAGGTGATTGAATTATTGATCCCAAAAGTTCTCATGAAATAACAAGGCAAAATTTTTCCACCTTTTCCACCTCCATTCTATTTCTTTATAATAAACTCAAATACATTATGTATACATAATTAATTATCTAACACCTTTAATTGATAATCGATGCAACATATTAATCATTAATATATTATGTTGATAGTTAACATGAATCACAAATGTAATATATGAATAATAATATGACATTAATCGATGAATAATGTACTACATCTATAATCAATATGGCATTTCAATACTTAACATGTCATATTAGTAATTTATTTATTAACAATATTAGCTAGACAGTTATCTGTGTGGGGTGATAAAATATATGTAAATTTAAAAATCAAATAAAGTATAAAGTATTAAAATTAGAGTGATAAAATTCACAAAATATAAGAAAAAAAAAGTGTAATTAAACTTATTTCTTTTCTTGCTCTCTTTAACACCACACCACGTATGTAGCATGTATCGATAAGTTGCGCGCCCGTGCATTAAACTTCCAAAATGAATGCAACTATATGTAATTAGTAAAACACATGAAAGAGCTCATTAACAAATCATTCAATCAATCCATAATTTCACATCAAGAATCATGCAACGAGTTTCTGATATTTCTTTGATTGTCTCGTTAATTAAATTTAGTTTCTACTTTTGTGGGTGGGTAGGGTTGTGTTTGCATACTAAGCTACAGGCTTCATAATTTGAAAGAAAAGAGGAGGTAAAAAAAGTTGCTTGAAAACCATAGAGTAATAAGTGGCCAGTGAGGATCCAAATAATTAAAATAAGAAGCGCATTCATTTTGTGATAATAAGTGAAAGTAGAATAGTAGGGACGCAGAAGCAGATAGAGGGCCAAAGCAAAACAATGGGAAAATGATGACTAATTATTTCGGATAGATACCACAACTGATTATTTTGATAGTGTCTATGATTCTCATTATTGGAAAAACAAAGCTAAACTGTCCCGGTTCCCCACCCATATAGTCATTATTTCTCACTTTACAATTTTCTTTGCTTTCCTCATATAACAATGTGATTATAATTAAATAATAATATCTCAAAAGTTGCTCAACACCCAATTGAAGCTTACGAGAGAAGCTCGAGCTTTAATATCGGTTTATCCCCCAAACAGAACAAGTACTATATATTATTAAGAATTCAAAAGGAAGCAACGATTTACAGAAAAAAGGGTTTTGTTATATTAAATACTTAGTAGAAATTAAGCCGGGTCATATATAGTTTTTCGTAGAGAATCGCTACCTTTTTACCATGCATCTTCGTTTTTATATTATATTATATTATATTATATATATATATATATATAGAAGATTTATGATTAATTTATTAAGATTAATAAAAATAGTTAATTTAATTTATAGTAATAATTTATTTTATATTTATATTTGTTTAAAAATTATATGTGTACTACTTTTATCTTTTAATTAATATTTATCTTTCTATTAACTTATTAGGATTAATCTTCTATATTTTTTTTTCTATCCTAATTAATATTACTTACTCTTTTGACTAATTGGAATTTTTTAACTACTTAAAATACATGTCTTTAAAAATTTATGATTAATGTATTCCATCAAAATAAAAAAAAATATATTTTAATTAGAGTATTTTAGTTTAAAAACTAATACATCAAATATTATAAATTAAGTCTTACACAAATAAATATATAATTATTTTCAATTGAGTCTCATAAATAGAAGAAAAAAAATTAGTAAATTATAGCAGATTTGGTTGATAATATAAAACTGGCTTCAAACGTGACACTACAGAAAAAAAAAGTTACTATCATTTTCTACATGTTAATTTAGAATTATATTAGTCTCTATTAATATAATGTTTTGTATAATAAAATTAAAACTATTCATATACATATTATGAGTTTATACTAATAGTACATTAATTATATATATATATATATATATATATATATATATATTATATACTAACAAAATAGTTCTATTAGCTAGAGTGTATATAGATATATATTATAAATACATATAAAAGGTTAGTGCGTAATTAATACATTAAACTGTTAGTGTATATCTTTAAAGTCTATACTATTTTTTTTCTTGGATAAAAGTTATACTAACAAAGCAATCTTATATACTTGACAATTTTTATTAGTAGATGACAATATTTTTTATAATATGAGAAAATGAAAATATAGAAAACATTAATGTATTTAAATAAAACAGAAATTCGTTCAAAACTGTTTTTGACAGAAAACTCGTTCAAAACTAAAGAAAGAACAAATGGGATATATATACGCATTTAAAATATTAATTCAACAAATAAGTAAAACTAGAAATAATATTTTGCACATTATGATATTTATATTATAGTGGACTAAACGAGTTAAAAGTTAAAACCAACTAAAATGGGTTGAGTTTGTGAGTTAATGAATTATCTCACAGACTAATTATTTTCAAAATATTATTTATTATTGGCTAAAAACCTATTTAGTCCCTTATAATAATTATTTGTTTCAATTTAGTCTCATTTTTATTTTTTGTCTCAATTTGATCTTTTAATAAATTAATTGGTTGCAATGTCGAACTTTCATCCAAATTATTTAAACAGAATTAATTGTTGATCACGTGGATGCCACGTAGATGCATAGGTGGATGCCAAATTTCATTAATGCATCTAGAACCAGAATGACCCATTCTGAAACCAGAACGACCCGTTCTGGTTGCGTTGTGTGTTAATTTTGAATTTGGAACGGGCCGTTCCATATGCAAAATTAACACACCACGAGTGCAGCAGAACAGGTCGTTTTGATTTTAGAACGACCCGTTCTAGATTCAGAACGGGCCGTTCTAAAACGCCAACCACATACATACGTTCGACAAAATGCCGCAATGTGATTCAAAAATTGAAAATAAAAATTCATAACATATAATAAATTCAAAGGTAGAAATATGGTTTAGAGACTGAAAACAAAAATTCATAACATAACATAACATATACTAAAAAAGTTCAAAGAAATTACTGAGAAGAAAAATCATCTGGATAACGCTGAAGGTGTCAATAATACATCTTATCTACCATATAACACTGAATGGCTGATAGGATATCAACATTATCTACCTGTACATGTGGTTGTGTGGTGAAATGTTGGTCTTGTGTATCCTCTTCCTTTACTTCAGGTTGTACCTCCTCAAGAACAAGTTGTTGTTGTTGGGGTACATCGATCAATGACTTCAAGGGAAAATACCATGTCGTTTCATCCTTGACTGTATAGTGTCAATTTGGTAGTAAGTGGTTCACTCCAGTTTGACCAACAATGAAATAAAATTTGCTACTATTAGTGATATACTGTATTGTCCTTAATGATACACTGTATAGCCCAAATGTTTAGCAATTGAAGTTATCAATCCCCATTGACAATAATACCAAATCAAATGTTTGAAATGTTTTGTACCTTGGGTCTTTTTCCTTGCACGATTCACAACCGTGAATTATAATCACCGACCGTTTGTGTTTGACATTCTAGAATCAGAACGGCCTGTCGTTCTGGTTCCAGATATATTAATGAAATTTGGCATCCACCTATGTATTCACGTAACATCTACTGATCTACGTGACCAATAGAACTCCGTTTAAATAATTTGGACGGAAGTCCAACATTGCAATCAATTAATTTATTAGGGACTAAATTGAGACAAAAAATAAAAGTGAGACTAAATTGAAACAAATAATTATTTTAAGGGATCAAAATAGGTTTTTAGCCTTTATTATTTTATAGTTTTATAAATAATAATTGAACTAAAGGCG